GAGAGAGAGAGAGTAAGAGAGAAAGAGAGAGAGCGTGAGACAGAGAGACAGAAGAGTGGGGTAGTTAGCAATAGACACGAGACGTCAAAGATTTGAACCAAACCCATGCACAAATTTACCACCCAGACCATTCATTATTTATCCAAAGGGCGGAGCCCGGACACGACATCCCTGCCAAAAACGATAACTGTACAAAACGCCTGGCAGCAAATATGGAAAACAGCGAAACTGCTCAGATTTGATAACCGCCATTCGTCATCATAAACTTTAGGATTATGCCTAATTTACAACCACCCAACCACCAAGCGACATTTTGGTACCCTCTCCAAACGTGCGGTAAATTTTATCACCTCCTTTGGACAAACAAAAGGGAACGATTTGGAGGACGATGTTGGGCCAGGTGACCTGTGCCCGACAGGGGTCAGTTGACTTAGGAGAGTCGGGGGCGGGGATAGGAGGGGAGGAATCAGGTGAAGGATTTGGGTTGTCAACTTTTATTTGGTTGTCATTTTAAGAACTTCCATGGGGTTTACTCCACATGTTCGGGGGGGGGGGGGTGTGGTAGGGAGGGGGTGTAAGGGGGAGGGGGCGGAGATAGGAGGGAAAGGGGAAAAAACAGGAGGTGGTGGTGAGAACAATATTAACATGCTCATAAAACATGTTATTTATTATAAGGTAATTTAAATAATTATGTGTGACCCCTTTGGTGTCTTTCTATGGGAGCGACTGGAAACGACGACTAATAAAAGTTATTGTAACTGCTACTGCTGCTGCCACCACCACTACTACTACTACTTCTACTACTACTACTACAAATACTACTACTAATACAAATACTACTACTACTCTAACAACTGTTAACTAATATTACTACTACTACCACCACCACCACTACTATACTAGTATATACTGCTGCTGCCACTACTATGCTGCTGCTGCTACTACTACTACCACCACCACTTCTACTGCTGTTGCAGTTATTATTATTATTATTATTATTATTATTATTATTATTATTATTATTATTATACTCCCATCGGTATCATCACCACTGTCGTTATCGCCTCTAGCAGTACCATCTCAGCAAGAAACATTATCTACCATCTTGCACAACCCCATAACTTCACAGCCCACCTTGATCGACTTGTGGAAGCATCCTGTTGTTATGCATATGAGTCTTTCGGGTAAAATTACCCAAAAGTTTTGTGATAAATTTAAAAATGCTCAAGATCGCACATCACCTTAAATTAGCATGAATTTTCGGAAGGTGAAGGAGGCAAATTTCATTAAAGTCTTCGACACAAAGGAAGACAACAAAAGCGCAAAGGGAAGATAATCGTGGGTAAAATGTCAAATTATCTCCCCTCGTTTAAAAAAAATGTCAATGGACTCCTCAAGCAAGGGGGAAAAAATTGATCTTTAAAAGGTAAATATTCCGGGTCTTGTTGAGATAAACGAAAAGACTTCAAGTACTCTTAAGATACTAACATCACGAGGGGGCCCTCTAAAATTCTGGTTTTGTCAAATAAAAGTCCAATCATTCTAACCTGCTTGAAGTACCCTGAAGAGCTGCAGTCGTATTTGAAACAGAAGAACTCGTAATTATCGGAACCACGTAAAATGTCTTCTCTTTTATAGTATTGTTTCAGAATTAGTAGACATTTATATGAAGATGGTAAATTTGCGAAACCCGAAATTCACGTAATTATAAAATAGGCCAGTTAGTCATAATTGAGATTAATGCGAATATTTGTAAGCACGAGTTGTAATTGGTTTTTTCTGTGTGATGTTGAAATAACTTGTTCGCTGCCTTACGTTGTGTGTGTGAGTTAGAAGTTAAAATCAAGAAGATAGACTTAATTCCGCTGGGACAACTCTAATGGGTCTATCCTCTCCGTATAATGCCTACTCACCTGCAGAGAGCGAAGTCGTGTGTTCGGGTCCTGACAGAACCGAAATTTTTTTTTAATGACCTCATCTCTAAGGTCGACCCAGCCTTGAATGGGTACCACGTCAGTCCTAGGAAGTAAAAGCGGCCGGCGGGATGTCGCCACATCATCTATCCAGTGATGATTGGTCTGGAAAATATAGGTCTAGCCCTATATACCCAATACAGCTGAATGGATGTAAGAGAGACTTTTACTTCACTTACCTACAGAGAGCGTCGCACAAAGTACGAACTCTGTATCTCTGGGTGAGATGCACAGGGATCTTCGTAAAAATGACACTCGTAAATCGAACGTAGCACCGGTGAGGGTCTTGAAGCGTTCATTGAAAGAGAAACAGAACAGACCGACAGCCAACTCAACAAACATGTATAAGTCGACATTAGCGGCTTCTTTCGAAGTCGGAGTATACTTGTCTTAGAGGCAAAGAACCAACAATCTGTATACATATATGTCAGATCTGTAAACGGCTGTGCACGGAGCACTCACGTTTTGGAACAAGACTAACATTTAGAAATGGGCGAACAACCAGAACTTTCTACTAGAGTTTACAGACCGTGAACGCAAAGAAGATCGCAAGTTCTCGTCTGTCGATGCAAATCAGAAAGAGATCACAAGGAGCAGAAGAAGAAGAAGAAGCAGAAAAAGAAGAAGAAGAAGAAGAAGAAGAAGAAGAAGAAGAAGAAGAAGAAGAAGAAGAAGAAGAAGAAGAGAAGAAGAAGAGAAGAAGAAGAAGAAGAAGAAGAAGAAGAAGAAGAAGAAAAGAAAGAAGAAGAAGAAAGAAGAAGAAGAAGAGAAGAAGAAGAAGAAGAAGAAGAAGAAGAAGAAGAAGAAGAAGAAGAAGAAGAGAAGGCAGGAGGAGGAGGAGGAGAAGAAGAAGAAGAAGAAGAAGAAGAAGAAGAAGAAGAAAGAAGAAGAAGAAGAAGAAGAAGAAGAAGAAGAAGAAGAAAGAAGAAGATGAAGAAGAAGAAAGAAGAAGAAGAAGAAGAAGAAGAAGAAGAAGAAGAAGAAGAAGAAGAAGAAGAAGAAGAAGAAGAAGAAGAAGAAGAAGAAGAAGAAGAAAGAAAGAAAAAGAAGAAGAACGAAAAAGAAGAAGAACGAAAAAGAAGAAGAACGAAAAAGAAGAAGAACGAAGAAAAAGAAGAAAAAGAAGAAGAAAAAGAAGAAGAAAAAGAAGAAGAAAAAGATAGTGATGATAATAAACAAGAAGAACAGGAAAAACAAGCAGGTTAACATTGTAATCTTTCCACCAACCGCTCCTCCACATTTTCTCTATTTCCTACGAATCAAAGAATCAAAACAGCCACACTTTTCCACGTTAAGAAACTACTTAAAACCACAGGAACCAGAAAATGACACGACGGGACAACTTTAATAAACACACAGGACAAAGAAAATAGACTATTTCATTTTAAACACTACAATAAAACATTTCCATTAAGAGACATCTTAAATATGAAAGTGTTTCGCCTGCCTTTCTCCCGTTCTTTCTTTCTTTCTTTCTCTTCCAGCATGACACTTTTTTTTTTTTTTTACAATCCTTTCTGTCTTCTTCTCTTTGAGCTACTTTTGTTCGTATTAATTCAACCAGACATGAAAGTTGTCAACTGCAACAGAACGACCAGTTATCGATAGCTGTTGTGATGCTGGGTGAAATAATTTGTAGCTGGGCAAGCTGGCGAATGGCGAACTTTTGTTGTCGTATTCCGAGGGGAATTATCTACGTGTCTAAATAGAATTGGCAGCCGCTGTGGCGCAGTGGTTACAACACTTACCAGTGTTACAGGATCGATTCGCGCCAGTAGGGATTTTAAAAAAATTGAAATGTGTCGACACTCGTTAAATAATTCTAACTGTCCGTCCGTCCTACGTTCGTCCATCTGTACGTCATATAAGTCCACTCATTCTCAGAGCAATCCGTCCAAATGTTTATATGTTCCTTACCGTGTCTGTAAATTATATCGTATATTCCGTTGTGTGTCTCCAGCTCTCTCTCTCTCTCCCTCTCTCTCTCTCCCTGTGTCTCTGTCTGTCTGTCTGTCTCTCTCTCTCTCTGTCTGTCTGTCTCTCTCTCTCTCTCTGTCTCTCTCTCGCTCTCTCTTTTTCCATCTTTTCCTGTCGCTCTTTTCTTCTTTTCTTCTTTATTTTTCTATTACACCTTCCAAATCAACTGCTCTAAATATCGTTATATCATTTACCGCAATTATTGTCATACATCTCCCAGATATCATAATTTCATGTACCAATGACTAATGTCACATTTCTCCGTAATATCATAAATTAATGTAACAGTGATTACTGTCATATTTCTCTGGAACATCACAACAGTATGTACAATTGGCTATTCTCACTTTTCTCTGGAATATCATAATGTTATAATGATTGGTCCCATATTTCCCGGAATATCATAACTTGGTCTAACAATAATTAATGTCATATTTTTCCGAAATATCATAAATTATTCTAACAATAATTTATGTCATATTTTCCTGGAATATTAATTACATAGACTAACAAAAATGCATGTCATATTTTCCGGAATATCATAAATTAGTGTGACAATAATAATTGTTATATTTCTTGGGAATATCATAACTTAGACTAACAATAATTATTGCCATGTTTCCCCGAAATATCATAACTTTGTCTAACAATAATTAATGTCATGTTTCCCAGAAAAATCATAACTAGGTCTAAAATTCTAACAAAAATTATTGACTTGTTTTCCAGGAAAATCATAACTTGGTCTGACAATAATTACTGTCATGTTTCCCAGAAAACATCATAACTTGGTCTAACAATAATTAATGTCATATTTCCCCGGGATATCATAACTTAGTCTAACAATAATTACTGTCATGTTTCCCAGAAATATCATAATTTGGTCTAACAATAATTACTGTCATCTTTCCCAGAAAAATCATAACTTGGTCTAACAATAATTAATGTCATATTTCCCCGGGATATCATAACTTAGTCTAACAATAATTACTGTCATGTTTCCCAGAAATATCATAACTTAGTCTAACAATAATTACTGTCATGTTTCTCCAGTGTCACGGTTCGGCATGAGCCCAAGTTCCTGCATGGCCTCCTCTATGGGCGGCATGGGAGGAATGTCATCAGGCATCAACCCCGCTCTGGGGATGACCCACCTCGGTGACCCCACCAAGGGTGGCATGGCCGGCTTCTCCATTGCTCAGAGGAGGAAACGTCGTGTTCTGTTTTCCCAAGGACAGGTTGGTGGCCACACTTTCACTTGAGTAATCGCTGTATCTGTTTATATACGACTTGTTCATTTTACTTAGAGTGTTTTTGTTGTATGTACGAAGGGAGCTTCAACTGAAAACGTGAACAATTGTGAAAGAAATTACAATAATCACAGCAATGTGTGATAAACTGTCAGTATTGTTGTGACGGTGGTCAAGAGTGTTAAGCATTGACGTCACAGTGCAGAAAATCAAGTGACGTAATAATGGTAGTTTAAAGATGGCCGCCCCATTTTGTATTTCTTCTTCTTCTTCGCGTTCACTGACTGTAAACTCCAGCAGAAAGTTCTGGTTGTTTGTCTGTCTCAGTACATTAGCCTTGTTCCAAATCCTGGATGTTGCGTGCGCATCCGTTTTACACATTTGCCTTATTGTGTGCAGACTGTTGGTTCTTTGCTTTTCAGACAGATACACTATGACTTCGAAGGACATTTTGCATTTGAAGACCCTCGCAGGTAGAGCTTACTTGCGTGTTTTTTTTTTTTTTATCTGAATATATGTGCATAGGTGTGTGTTTTTCAAAGCGGCCGGGGTGACGTTGACTAAATCATCCATCGAGTGGTGACTTGCGTATACAAATATAAGCCGAACATCAGATGCCTGATGCACCATGTGCAATAACAGTCAAGAGTCGTTTACAGGACTCTTGCTTTTTGCTATGAATAGGGTTCAATGGACGTTTTTTTTTTTTTTTTAAACATGTCGAAATATGTTGTATCTATTTTACAGTCGTTTCTGTTGTTTTCTGGGGTTTGTGTGTGTGTGTAACACTCATGTTCACATATAGCGGTGTTACGAATTGTTAACTTTAAAAGGTTTCTACCTTGTTTTTCAATTTGACTTGTTTTGACTTCGCTTTCTTAATTTTATTTGTGGTTCTTTTGTATAAAAATTTATTTTGTTTAAACTTTTTTTTATTACGAAGTTGCCAATTTTTACCTGTTTCTTTCTCTGTTTAATAATAATAATAATTATTATTATTATAATTATTATTATTATTATAATGGCACCAGTAATAATTTACCTAAGTATTTGTTGAGTGTGTCTGATACATATACTTTTGTTACAAGTTCATTACATTTATCTAATAAATAATTATTATAATTTTTATTATTATTATGGCACCAGCAATAATTTACCTAAGCATTTGTTGAGTATTTACACTTACGTTTGTTACAAGTTCATTACATTTATTTAAAACTGTTTTTTTTTTTTTTTTTGGGTGACCGTTAATAATAATGTATGTGTGTTGTTTTGTCTGTCACTGTCTACTTATTTAACTATGTTTATTTTTTATTTTTTTTTTGCCTTTTTGCTGTGTATCCGATTATAGTAGGTGTGTTTTTGTTGTATATTATCGTGCAATTGTTGTTGTTTTATTGCATCAGCTAATTTTAATTATTTATCTCACGCACACATGTTAATTTTGTATACATTTTTTTAATCTATTCCCTAATTTCAGTTTTTTATTCATTGTAATTTTACTTATTATGTATACTCTCCTCTTTGTCTGGTAATTTAATAACATTTGTGCTGTCTGTCTGTTTATTTAATCATATTTTTGCCGTCTGTCTGTTATTTATTCATATTTCTGAAAATACCGTATCCTAATTTTTTTTTCTTCTTCGTGTTCGCCGACTCTAAGCTCCGGAGGAAAGTTATGGTTGTTCATCCACTTCTGGACTCTAGTCCTGTTCCAGAACCTGAGTGTTGGTGTACATCCGTTTCCCAGGTCTAACTTATTTGCATGCAGACTGTTGGTTAGTTCCAATTAGTCGACTCTTAGGACATGATATTTGGGTAGGCAGTGGGTCTATTTTTGTTTTCCCCACAACTGGGCCCCGGAACCCACACGGGGAAGAGGTTTTTAATTATATTTCTTGTCTAATATGTTGTAATTATAATTATATATATCCTGTCTACCCGTTAATTTTGACTACTTTTATGTTAGTTATATTAACATTACTGTCGGCTCTGTGGCTTAGTCGATGCGAACGCTTCGTAATGCCGGGGTGCCGGGTTCGATCCCAGCTGCGGGCCATGCGCCTTGCGTTGGTTTCGACAGGGATATCAAGAAAGCCGACCGTCCAGGAAGCAATGGCAAACTACTGGACGTAAATTTGCCTAGAAAAACCACACAACAGCCAAGGGCTGTTGGGTGTGGTTCTTCAACGTCCTGTAAAGGATACGCAACTAACCTCAATATTTATTACTACTGCTTATCTGAACAGTTTATTATACTTCTTTTGTCTGTCAGTATACGGAAGCTAGTCCTGTTGTCTTTTCGTTAGTTGTATTTATGTGTGTGTTTCATGAGCGGTCAAATCTCATGTTTTTATTTTTTATTTTTTACATTGCACATATGATTATTTTAAAAGCTATTGAAAACGATATTTCAATAAGTTACTATTTGCTGGTCGGCATGTGTGGCTTATGTGTTGCGAGCGCGTTTCGTAAGGCCTGGGTGCCGGGTTCGATCCCATCTGCGGACGATCATGTCTTGCAATATAGGTACTGAGAGCTGACCGTTCAGTAGTAATGGCAAACTACACTACTGAACGTAAAATGTGCCTAGAAAAACCACAACAGCACACACAAGAAAAAAAAAGCTGGGGTTGGTTCTGCAACGTCCTGTAATGGATACGCAACTTTATAAACTATTTATTGGCGTTAAGACTCGACAGGTGAAAAAAAAAAAGTAACACTTGACAGTGTGTCATTTATAAGCGTGATATTTTTTCCTAGGGTACTGAACGTTGTTATTGTTTTTTATTGCTGTTAATTCCTTGTAATGCCTTCTTCTTTCTTGTGTCTATCTTCTTCTTCTTCGCATTTACTGGCATGCAAAGTCTGGTGGAAACTTTTGGTTGTTCGTCCACTTCTGGACTTTAGTCTTGTTCAAGAATTTCATCATTGCCTTTTCTTTCTCTGAAAACAGTGTCCATGTTTGATATTGAAAGTATATTGTTGAAGGAAATATTGTGTTAAACACTGCTTCTTTGGTGTGTTAAACACTGCTTCTTTGGTGTGTTAAACACTGCTTCTTTAGGTGTGTTAAACACTGCTTCTTTGGTGTGTTAAACACTGCTTCTTTGGTGTGTTAAACACTGCTTCTTTGGTGTGTTAAACACTGCTTCTTTGGTATTCATATTTGTGTTATTTTTATTTCACTACTGGTGCTATTTGGCTAAATACAAGCTTATGTAATTGCTACCGGGAAATGCTATAGAAAATAAAGGCGATCTGTGTGATGTTGACTGGATATTCACCGAATACCTATTTCGTCTTCTTGTGTCTCCTATCCCCTAGTGGAGCATAGGTCCTCAGCCAACTCCCGCCAAGTCGTTCTATCCATCGCTCCTGCATGCAACTGACCCCATGTCCTTCTCACCTTTTTGTCCTAACGTTCTATCTCCCTTTTTCATTTTAGTTTTTTTTTTGGGTCTACCATAATTTCAACTTAAAATACCTTTGAGATGTTGTGTTGTGGTTCACAGCTAAGCTGAGATATCTACGCTCTGCGTCTTAATACATGCGTGCCAGCAAACCTTTAATTACACTACTAGTATGGCATATGGTGTTAAAAAGCCAGGGATCTACCCCCCCCCCCCCCTCTCCCCGACCCCTCCTTCTGCGGAAAATGTGTAACTAAAATACTAATTTTCTATCTTATAGTAGCTACAATATACATTTTCTGTCTTACAGAAGCTAAGATACATTTTTTTCCCTCCAAATGTAGCTAAACTACACTTTTATATCTTAGAGTGGCTAAGCTCCCTTTTTTATCTTAATGTAGCTAAAATGCAATGGTATATCTTATAGTGGCTATGATACATATATTATTTTAATTCTTAGGTGGCTAAAATACATATTTTGCATCCTAATGTAGATTTAAAAAAATTTATTTTTATTTTATAGTAGCTAAAATACACATTTTCTGAATTACAGTAGCCAAAACATATATATATATATATATATATATATATATATATATAACATATAAATATTATATATATATATACAATATAATATATATATAGAAGGTTTTTCTATTTTTATAGCAACTAACATATAAATTTTATATCTTATAGTATCCACAATATAATTGTATGTCTTATAGAAGGTAAAATACCTATTTTCGATCTTACAGTAGCTAAAATAAAAAAATTCCATCTTAAAGTAACTTAGATAGACATTTTGTATCTTACACTAGCTAAGATGGACATTTTCTATCGAATAGAAGCTAAAATATATATTTTCCATCTTATAGTAGCTAAAATAGATATTTTATATCTTATAATAGCTAAAACATACATTTTCTATCCTATTGTAGCTAAAATATCCAATTTTAAATCTCATATTAGCTAAAATATTCTGCCTTATGGTAGCTAGAATAGACATTTTCTACCTTAGAGTAGCTTCTAACATGAACCGCTGGGCGATTATTGAAACATTATTAGGAAGATGAGGGTCTGTAGACGAATGATGAGAATACCCTGAACAGATAAAAAGAGCAATAAAGATTTCTGGGAAGAAACGGACTCAAGAAGACAACTGACTACCCATATCAGAAGGAACAAACAAACAAGTATGCCTAGCTGGTCATGTTCTTAGTACAATTGAGCAAATCGTAAAGGTGGAAAAGTTGGAGGGGAGCAGAGGCAGGGGTAGACAGAGAGACAGTTTAACATCATGGTCTGAAAGAAGATGACCCGTATCAAAACTGATTGAAAGAAGATGAGGAAAAGGCTGAGGATAGACATGACTACCAGCGTCACACGGCATGAAGTAAAAAAAAAAAAAAAAACCAGCTTTCAAAGAATACGCTACACGGTCAATTTTCCGTCTGGTCTCGAGCCAGTTACTAAATCAAACAGACGCCAAAGCCACCAGCGTTTCCCTCCTCTCGCTCCTTGAACAGCCCGCTTCCGACAAATAGGCCGGTTGCGTTTAATTTCTAAATAATCAGG